GATTTTCAAAGCTTATGTGTTTCAAAATATTTTGAGCCCTTGCACGATTTTTTTTAAACATGTCAATTAGCTCCCACCGGGCCAATTCTGGGAGTGCAAATTGTAAAGCTTTAAAAAATCAAGCAAAGGTTTCTATCGTTTGTTTTGAAAAGCTTATTAAAACGTTAAATTGTATTTTAAGAATTTTTGAACCGATACCTTGAAAATATTAACAAATATGTCATAATTCTTTATTATTAAACATAAAACTGTTTTAGAATGACATATAGCTTTCACATAATTATGTAATTTTCAAAATGGCTGTTGAAATTGTCAGTACCAAATTATCGTATTTTCAGAGGAATGGTATAAAAGAATAAATGTCAAATTCTAATTAATATTACAAGCCATATCATTTATTTGGGGATTAAACATTTCAAGCTCTAGTTTACCTTAAGTTTTTTTAAGAATATTTTTTTGTTTAACTAATTTAAAATGAATCTAGTGAATTAGATTGTAGACATCAAAACAATAAATAAATCATATAAATATTGTACAATAGTTATAGGGCTTACAGCATCTGAATAGCTTTTAACTACGCAAAATTTTTATCTAGTCCAGTTATAAGAGTACTTTATCATTACTTAGATTTTTTGTACGATTAGATACGTATGCTTGCTGACTTTTTGAAATGAAATGATGGGGTATGAATTCCTCTTATTTATTAATAAATACTTCAACGAAGTCATCAACAGGGAGACATTATTTCTTCAATGTGCGTCTATCTGCAAATTTGCACATACTAAAAACTATTTCTTTCATACCCTGTGATTCGAGAATATTAGATACGTAATCTTTCAATACTTTAAAATCCAGACATGATTGACACTCATTAAAAAAAAAATCAGGCAGTGGATTTTCGCACATTGTTAATTTCAGGCAGCTGTTTTTATGTTGTGCTTTATTTTTTTAATTTTTTGTCATGTTTTGTAAATCAGAAGCATAAAGCATATTTTCGAAATTCTCATGTACTGGACATACACATACACTGTGTATCTCTCTATCACCAGCAAGAATACATTACTGCGATCTGAGTTCAGCAAACGAGCTTAAACTTACCGGATTTTTGGTATTTAATTTTATAAAATCTTCATATAAAAGACATACATCTGAGAGAAGTAAATGTTTTTGTACTTTATGTTTTTTCCCATCCTTTCTTACAATAACAGCATTTTTTTTGTTTGCTATAATCCGACTATTTTCATCTAACTCATAAAAGTTCACAATTTTTGCTACTGTATCGGATGATAAAGTTTCACCTGCTCTCGGAGATGACATTGCTGAAATACCCTTATTTTTTTCAAATTCTTGCTTTTTTAGCCATTCTTCTTAAAATTTCAAGTTCTTTCGCTACTTTTCGTGTTGAATAACAACAAAAAGCATGATTTTTTTGCTGGAGAATAATCAACATCACTTTCAGACATATGTTTTCTAAGCAGTTATCTTCATACTGAGAAACTGCACTATCTGACAAAAGTTTACTATGTTAATAATAAAGTTACAGACAATCCATACAAATTTTGAAAAAAATTCTCCACAATTTAATCAAACATTTATTTTCTGTTTTTTTAAGGAAAAATACAGTAATTATATCTTTGTCGTAACACATAATATTGTAATATTTTTTAACGTACAAATTAAAATGACTTTTCACTGATGTTTCAAAGTCTTATTTTTAAATTTACCCACACTTGATCAGTCTGAGCCTATCATACACCAAGAAAACAGGCCTTATCACATGACCAATCGTTTTTTTAAGATAGAAAATATCTCAGAAAATTGTACTTTTGAGTCNATATGTGTGTGTGTGTGTGTGTGTGTGTGTGTGTATTGTATTGTATAACTACTGCTGCTTTTCGGTGGTGAATATATAACTATATATATCTGCGCACTTCGTTCTGCGCACATATGGCAGGACTGATATGAGACTTTTTCTAGCTCAAAATCGGGTCAGATGGAACGAACTTTCGGCGGAGGTGTAAGGAAATAGTAGTTTTCCTACGAGTTTGAAAAGTCTTTGTTTGCGAACCGAGAGGCTTGCGGCCCGAGCCGAAGGCGAGGGACGAAACTGAGTTCCTTTTAATAACTTCTATAACATAACATTATCCTTTTAGTAATACTTGATCTAGGAGCTCATAAACAATATGAAAATTCTTATCTTACTTACCTTTTACAATTGTACTTCACTTTTATGTTATCTGGAAAAGATGCAGATAAGCAACTAGAGCCAAGCATCTCAATTGCGTTGTAACGATACCGTAGTGGACAGAGAGCAACGTTCTTACCCTTGACGTTAATGTCTTTTGGTGAGCTCATAGGAAATTGGAGTATCAAGGGATCTACTCCAATTTGGTCTTCCTAGAAATAAACAAAACTTAAAAAAGTAAGAGGTATTAGTTTAAAAATGATTATTTCTAAAAACTGTTTTTAATGTAAAAAATGCAATACTTAAAATTTCAATGGAATTGAAGTTTCAGCCTTGAGTAAATAATAGCTCAGTTCCAACCCCTACCTAAAATCATAAAAGCTGTATAACATTTGACACTAAAAATTCGTAGCTTTATAAGTCCTGCAGATCAAGAGATGTATTCAATTATCAACGCAAACACAATTCGCAGGTAATTTAATTTTTTTTAAATAATGACAACTAAAAAACCGCTACTGTTCGTTTTGAAGTAAGCCAATTTGCTTGGAATAATTTAACTGTATAGAGTCAAAATTATAGTTGTCAACGAATCAAAGTGAAAGTTCAGAATTATGGCATGAACGTGGGTTGCAAAAATAACTGAACATCAAAAGTGAGATTTGATTATTTTCCGAATTATTCATCTTCTGAACTCTACTCGCTTGATATTTTATTTGTAATTGATCGTCAAGCCTAAGTTAATTCGTTTGTTGATAAAGAAGATGAAATTCAGAACGAGCATTAGGCGTCTATTATTTTGATCCATTAAATTAATACAGAATACTTTGCCAATATTATTTATTTTAAAAAATCAGTCAAAATAATTGATAAACTTAAAAAATGAGGAAGTATTTTTTACTGTATCAGTCTTGAGATAAAAGGTACATGCTATTTAAGGTGGCTTCCTCGTGCAGAAATGCCAACCCACGTCGTAGGTCACAAATTTGCTCGCAAACCCAAGTATAGTTGGCAATACTGACACAAGAGAGCATAGGCTATCCTGTGAAAATACAATGACTTGATTAAATTTAATCAAATCTTGCTAATAATAGACAGGTCCAGTTGCAGAATGTGATGTTTTCTGAAGGTCAAGCTGAAAATGAACTGTTCTTGCGGAAACTTATAGCCATTGAATTTTCGATCTACCTAGATAAAAACACTATTAATATAATTAAAAGAGTCAGTCATTTGGGAAGTTAATAAAGAATCCCATTACTAAATTGGTTCCACTGGACCAACTCTCAGAGTGCAAATTGTAAAGCTTTAAAAAATCAAGCAAAGGTTTCTATCGTTTGTTTTGAAAAGCTTATTAAAACGTTAAATTGTATTTTAAGAATTTTTGAACCGATACCTTGAAAATATTAACAAATATGTCATAATTCTTTATTATTAAACATAAAACTGTTTTAGAATGACATATAGCTTTCACATAATTATGTAATTTTCAAAATGGCTGTTGAAATTGTCAGTACCAAATTATCGTATTTTCAGAGGAATGGTATAAAAGAATAAATGTCAAATTCTAATTAATATTACAAGCCATATCATTTATTTGGGGATTAAACATTTCAAGCTCTAGTTTACCTTAAGTTTTTTTAAGAATATTTTTTTGTTTAACTAATTTAAAATGAATCTAGTGAATTAGATTGTAGACATCAAAACAATAAATAAATCATATAAATATTGTACAATAGTTATAGGGCTTACAGCATCTGAATAGCTTTTAACTACGCAAAATTTTTATCTAGTCCAGTTATAAGAGTACTTTATCATTACTTAGATTTTTTGTACGATTAGATACGTATGCTTGCTGACTTTTTGAAATGAAATGATGGGGTATGAATTCCTCTTATTTATTAATAAATACTTCAACGAAGTCATCAACAGGGAGACATTATTTCTTCAATGTGCGTCTATCTGCAAATTTGCACATACTAAAAACTATTTCTTTCATACCCTGTGATTCGAGAATATTAGATACGTAATCTTTCAATACTTTAAAATCCAGACATGATTGACACTCATTAAAAAAAAAATCAGGCAGTGGATTTTCGCACATTGTTAATTTCAGGCAGCTGTTTTTATGTTGTGCTTTATTTTTTTAATTTTTTGTCATGTTTTGTAAATCAGAAGCATAAAGCATATTTTCGAAATTCTCATGTACTGGACATACACATACACTGTGTATCTCTCTATCACCAGCAAGAATACATTACTGCGATCTGAGTTCAGCAAACGAGCTTAAACTTACCGGATTTTTGGTATTTAATTTTATAAAATCTTCATATAAAAGACATACATCTGAGAGAAGTAAATGTTTTTGTACTTTATGTTTTTTCCCATCCTTTCTTACAATAACAGCATTTTTTTTGTTTGCTATAATCCGACTATTTTCATCTAACTCATAAAAGTTCACAATTTTTGCTACTGTATCGGATGATAAAGTTTCACCTGCTCTCGGAGATGACATTGCTGAAATACCCTTATTTTTTTCAAATTCTTGCTTTTTTAGCCATTCTTCTTAAAATTTCAAGTTCTTTCGCTACTTTTCGTGTTGAATAACAACAAAAAGCATGATTTTTTTGCTGGAGAATAATCAACATCACTTTCAGACATATGTTTTCTAAGCAGTTATCTTCATACTGAGAAACTGCACTATCTGACAAAAGTTTACTATGTTAATAATAAAGTTACAGACAATCCATACAAATTTTGAAAAAAATTCTCCACAATTTAATCAAACATTTATTTTCTGTTTTTTTAAGGAAAAATACAGTAATTATATCTTTGTCGTAACACATAATATTGTAATATTTTTTAACGTACAAATTAAAATGACTTTTCACTGATGTTTCAAAGTCTTATTTTTAAATTTACCCACACTTGATCAGTCTGAGCCTATCATACACCAAGAAAACAGGCCTTATCACATGACCAATCGTTTTTTTAAGATAGAAAATATCTCAGAAAATTGTACTTTTGAGTCAAATGATTATTACTTAGTATAGGATTGATAGTTTTTGAAAAATAATGTGTTTAAATGTTGAAATACCAATTATATTAATATAAAATGTTAACCTGTACTAGAATTAATAGTAAAAAACAAATTCTTTAAGAGTTATTGTAAAAAAAAAAATTTTATATTTGTAATCGTATAAATTAAATATTTCGTACGTAGTGACAGTCTTTGTAGTTTAATGTTAAACTTCGAAATATTGAGATTTAATTGTAAATAGCTAATGAGCTATTGAAAAATTCTTTTATTAATATAAACATGTTAAATTGTATCCATACAAAGTGTTTTTGAGATTCTTACAGTTAATAAATAAATTCAAAGTATTTTTTACAAATAGCTCAGTTCCAACCCCTACCTAAAATCATAAAAGCTGTATAACATTTGACACTAAAAATTCGTAGCTTTATAAGTCCTGCAGATCAAGAGATGTATTCAATTATCAACGCAAACACAATTCGCAGGTAATTTAATTTTTTTTAAATAATGACAACTAAAAAACCGCTACTGTTCGTTTTGAAGTAAGCCAATTTGCTTGGAATAATTTAACTGTATAGAGTCAAAATTATAGTTGTCAACGAATCAAAGTGAAAGTTCAGAATTATGGCATGAACGTGGGTTGCAAAAATAACTGAACATCAAAAGTGAGATTTGATTATTTTCCGAATTATTCATCTTCTGAACTCTACTCGCTTGATATTTTATTTGTAATTGATCGTCAAGCCTAAGTTAATTCGTTTGTTGATAAAGAAGATGAAATTCAGAACGAGCATTAGGCGTCTATTATTTTGATCCATTAAATTAATACAGAATACTTTGCCAATATTATTTATTTTAAAAAATCAGTCAAAATAATTGATAAACTTAAAAAATGAGGAAGTATTTTTTACTGTATCAGTCTTGAGATAAAAGGTACATGCTATTTAAGGTGGCTTCCTCGTGCAGAAATGCCAACCCACGTCGTAGGTCACAAATTTGCTCGCAAACCCAAGTATAGTTGGCAATACTGACACAAGAGAGCATAGGCTATCCTGTGAAAATACAATGACTTGATTAAATTTAATCAAATCTTGCTAATAATAGACAGGTCCAGTTGCAGAATGTGATGTTTTCTGAAGGTCAAGCTGAAAATGAACTGTTCTTGCGGAAACTTATAGCCATTGAATTTTCGATCTACCTAGATAAAAACACTATTAATATAATTAAAAGAGTCAGTCATTTGGGAAGTTAATAAAGAATCCCATTACTAAATTGGTTTGAAACTAAATATACAATATAAATTTAATTTTAACAAAGATACTGAACTTAAAGATCAAATAGAAGCCGGTTTTACTTCTTATTTAAACAATGCACTATGATATATTACGTAAAAAAGGGAACCTTAAAGTAAAACTGAAAAAAATGTCGGACACAACGAAATAGACACTAATAAAGCGGTTTAACCCTTACTCTTCACAGTCAGTCTGATCCTAGTAATCAAGGTATTTAGAGTGTATTTGAGTTATATACTACTTTATAACATTTTGTTTGCTTAATAAAGCACTGCTGTCTTTTAATCCTCATGATCACTTTATTCTACCTCTGCTGCCTGAACATCATGAATTCTTATCCTCAATAATAACCTACTCACAACTCACCTAATAACTTATTTACAAACAATTGTGCAGGTATATTGACGTGACCTTTTTTCACTGATTGTAGACTTTTAACCATTAAAACTTAGCGTTTTATCATGGCACAACTATGTTGATATATTTTAACGTTTTAACTCAGAATGAGAATTATTGTTATCTTTGTCTTAGAACATAAAAAAACTACAAAAAATTTAAGTCACTACGTGCAACAACATTCTTTCAATACTGGCATTTTAAGCTTCGTTACCTCTAACTACTGGAACCCAAAGGTTTACTTTTTGTAATCAACTTACGTATATTTCTAGTTGTTTTACATAGATTTTAATAGAAATCGATATACGTACTCAGGCTTTCAGAATACATATAATATCTTTAAATTAAACATCAATATTTAGTAGAATGCAAGTTACAGATATTCAAAAAAATTGTGATGAACAATTTTTTTTTCGATTTACTTAAAAACTATAAGAGTGATTAAGGATCAACATGTCATGAAAAGTTTTTTACATAAGCTTGTCTATGGTGCCGTTTTCTGAACCATGGTTGATTTCGGCATATTATCAATATTACTATTAATGACAAAAACCATTAGAAAACAAAAGTTTTTGTAAGAAACTTTGTAAGTTTTTTGGCCATGTATCAGCTCACTCTATCTAAATAGAAGGTACAAGCCCAGAAAACCAGGATTAAAGATGGTCTGGGTAAAGTAGATCTTAAATTTCTCAATAGCCCCAGTTATGATCGAATACCTACATAATAGGTTATAGGCTGGAACACCAAGTCCATGATTCTCATTACGTTTTATTAATATTTTTCAGTCCAAGAAAATATTTAGAGAATTTTCGAAATTTCACAAGAGCAGAATTCAACTGTCCATGCAGGATTCTAATTTGACATATTAGAGGTTTTGAGAGATTGTCATATAATTCTAATTTACCCACTCGTTTTTGGTATACCTCCCTCAGACAGTCAAGCAACAGAAAGATAAAATAACTTCTAAAGTAAGATATTAAACAAAACAGTTATTTAAGGTGTTAATAAATTTTATTTACTTAAATAGTATAAACATAACCCATCATTAAGGATATTGCAAAATTTTCTCTTTTTCAAATGTTTTAAACTGAGTTCCTTTTAATAACTTCTATAACATAACATTATCCTTTTAGTAATACTTGATCTAGGAGCTCATAAACAATATGAAAATTCTTATCTTACTTACCTTTTACAATTGTACTTCACTTTTATGTTATCTGGAAAAGATGCAGATAAGCAACTAGAGCCAAGCATCTCAATTGCGTTGTAACGATACCGTAGTGGACAGAGAGCAACGTTCTTACCCTTGACGTTAATGTCTTTTGGTGAGCTCATAGGAAATTGGAGTATCAAGGGATCTACTCCAATTTGGTCTTCCTAGAAATAAACAAAACTTAAAAAAGTAAGAGGTATTAGTTTAAAAATGATTATTTCTAAAAACTGTTTTTAATGTAAAAAATGCAATACTTAAAATTTCAATGGAATTGAAGTTTCAGCCTTGAGTAAATTTATATCCATTAAGAATAAATGTATTATTATTTATGAAAAATTTATAAGTTAACGTAAATATACAAATAAATTATTTAGCAATATTTTATTATTAAAATAGTAAATTGTAAAATCAATATCTTTCTATCTTCCTCTTTTTCTTTTGCAGACCCCTGCCCTTAAATTCAGGTAAGGAACTTTTTTAAAAGTCAGTAAATTAAGCTTACAGATTATTTAGTGGAAAATAATTGCTAGTACTTAGGTTATATAGTAACTGCACCAAACAAATAAACACTAAAAATTAATAATTAGTTATGTATAAAGTAAAAGTTTTTTGATGACAAAAACTTATTCTTGGCATAAGTGCTATTAAAGAAAGTACTTACTTATTCCATGATGTTTTTGTAGCTTTGTTAAAAAGTTATTGTTGTTATTATTTTTAACGTTTTACCTCAAAACTTAGAGTTTATGTACATACAATCATGGGAATTCTTGACTATTCAATTTAAATACTAACGGGGATACATAAAACTACTTTGTTGTTAAAAGAAATAAGTATCATAAATGTATTTATTGTTTATCACTACTAGGATAAAATGTTTCTCAAACAAGACTTGTTCTTCTGCAAGATATACTTTTATACTACCAGTCAATAAGTACCTACGTTTACAGAAAAATATCTACAGAGTATCTGCAAAAAATCCTACATTTTTTCAAGCCTGTTATTATTGTAATAAAGAATGAACAAGTCTTAAAATTAGTGATGTACAATAGAGTCTCATTCTTATTGGGTATCAAACAAATTTTAAATATCTGACACCGCTTATTTTTCAAAGGCTTCATATAAAAAAACTAAACCTAAATTTTATGCAGTTTCTAGCATATCTGTTCTTGTCTTACAACTGTTAAGAATTGCTCAAAATAGGTAGGGCCACGAAAATATTGTCTTATACCACTCCTTATATTCAGGGTAATACTTTTTTTACTTAAATTTTAATTCAATAACTGGAAAAATATCAACGATAATAGAACAAGGAGATCGTGGTTATAATAGATGTGCATTTATAAGTTTTTTTAACGTACTTGTAGATGTCTTAAAAATATGAAAGGAAGATTTTCTTAAGTTATCCAAGTTTTAAAAAAATTATGTCGGATGGTAAAAAAGTTTTTTATCTCTAGAACATGATGCTCTGCGCCCTAAGGTACACTTTTCATCCCCGTATTACTTGCCACCCACGAGCAAAAGTAAAAATTCTGGCTCTATTGGGCCCAAAGTTTATTTCGATTCTAGAGCGGAAAGAAATGAGCAAGTAAAAAGTGTTTTTCTAGGTACGAAGTTAGAAACACATTCTTAAGAATTTTTTGTTAAGCTCAATAATAATTAAAAAAGTTTTTAATAAAATAACTCTAAGTGCAACAAAATGATATTTTATTACTTGTTCAGGAGGTTTTGGAAAATAATTTTCGTACCAAGCATTTATTTATTATTTTTGTTAATAAAAAAAGCTACTTCTATTACTTGGAGTTACATAGCATAAGATAGGGGGAGACTGGGTACGGTTGTGCCAAAAGACGGTTGTGACACTGATCATATACGTGAAACTGTAAGAAATAACCACGAAATACTTGAAGAGGAAGGAGTGGAGTGCTGGATCACTTGTGCTTTACAGTATAGCATTAGCTGTTGTGTGATATCAACAACAGCAGAGGTCTACATTACTTTTGGAAAGGGAAATGTAAGTATTTTCTTTAAACTTTTTTTTGCGATTGTCGCTGTATATGTACAGATCGAGCAATGAGTATTTTTCCTCGTTGTAAGATACACATTACTACATATAAAGGCAGTAGCTAATTTTTAAGTAAGCTATGTTGTGTTTACATGGTAACTTTTTTTTTTCAAATGAGTGCGGAGGGTACGGTTGTGAAATACTGCATGTATACGGTTGTGACACAAGTAAAATTAGTTTTTTCCTTTTCAGATGCCTCGTGAGCGTTCCAGGAGAGCGGAAAGAGGTACGTGTAATGTTAAAAAGCATACAATGATACAAAGCAGGGGATTTCTGTACAGAAAGCTGCAGAAATGCAACAAGTAAATCACATGATATTATAGCGATACGCTCGTAAACGTGATGCAGCCAATGCTAACGGCAATAACAGAGGTAGCGTCAGTATAGGTTGCGTTGTTCACAACAAAGTCTTTTCTAAGGAGCAGGAATAGTGGTTGTCAAAATACCAACTACGTTGCGTGGATATATACTTTAAGTATATAATATCTATAATAATAAATTAAACTATTCAAAAGTAGAAATAAGACATAAAGTGTTCTAAATTTGATGCCCTTAATTAAAAATTAATGTTAAATTTTCCAAAAAAAGGTGCTGTTATATTATGTTCATTATAAAATACAATAAAAGTCATTTAAAACGGTTTTATAGTATATTACGTAACTAGGCCAGAAAGTGGGGCTATTACTGACCGCGCTATATTATCGGCCGAGCCAAAGGCGAGGCCAGTAATGCGCGGTCAGATGTAGCCCGACTTTTTGGCCGTGGTACGTATACTTTTTTTCCTTACACCTCCGCCGAAAGTTCGTCACCACGGTTTTAGTTTTGTTAAAAATGAAGGTTTAAAGATCTAGTCAAAGATTTAGTGCATTATGCATTATTGTTGATCGATCGGTCGCTCAAACAATACCACTTAAATGCACGTAGAAGAGTGTACATGTGTATAGGTATATCTACATATATAGCACTTATACGCTACCGATGACTGAGGAAAGGAGAAGGGAGGAGGGAGCTCTACGCTCGCCGAGACTGTAGTATATTATATAGAAACAGATTGGGCCGGGGATTTGTGCAGATTGGTCGTGCTGGCAATTTAATTTTGTGTTGTGTACTCTGTTCATATGAAATTAATACATTTATATATACATGTAAATTGTGCAATATATATATATATAT